ACTAATCCGTTATTGATTGCCAAATTTTGGACGGAAATGTTATGAGTTTGCGTTGATGCACTCTTCATTTTCTTTTAAATTCTGGGTTGAGGAATAATCACTGCGATTTCGCTAACCATAACCCTCTGAGTGTATAAATAGTGGCTTTTCGTGAGTAGATATTACGGGGAAACCTCGTTCTCCCCAACAAAGTAATCCGATTGGTTAATTGCTAAACCAGGCGTCCATCAAGAGGAGTTGATTCTCCAGCGGCTGACTGCGAAAACCGAAGTCATGCTAACTGACTTAATCAGGTTGCTCTTTGTTTTCACAATTTAATTCAGCCAATCAGATTTGTGCCAGCACGTCGCGAGTTCCTCAAGATAATTAACTTCTCATTTTGTGAAATTACTAAACCTTTTTCTGATTTAACGGCTTTTATCCAGTGCCATTGTTTCAAAGTTATTGATTTGTCGCACCAAGGGTAACGCACATCTCCCTTGTACCCTTCAGGCAGTTCTGCTATTGGTTGTCACAATTAATTCAGCCAATCAGAATTGTGCCAGCACGTCGCGACTTCCTCAAGATAATTAACTTCTCATTTTGTGAAATTACTAAACCTTTTTCTGATTTATCGGCTTTCATCCCGTGCTATTGTTTGAAACAGTTAGTGATTTGTCGCGCCGAAGGTAACGCACATCTCCCTTGTACCCTTCAGGCAGTTCTGCTATTGGTCAGCGGGTTCAGTGGGTACTGTTTCTCGGAGACAGTGTACGACCCCCTAGGCGACTTCATGGACCTCCTTACGTTGTTCAGCTGTGGCATTAACTTCGCCCTCTACTGTCTGATGTCCCAGCAATTCCGGTCCACCTTCCTTCAGCTATTCTGCCCACGCAAGCCAGTACACTAGACACAAACCCTGCGAAATGAGACACTCAGAGAAAATAATTTCGTATAATTATTGCTACTACTATTATATATTCCCCATCGAGTTTTTAACCTTTGAATTTTGCGCAGGATTCTTTCAAAATTTTCATCAGGAAACCGCTTGAAAGTGGGATGTCAAGCCATCATGTCTGATTGGCTCTATCGTCCAGTTTTCATATTGCCAACTTCGTGGAAAGGAATGCTCAAATTGACTATATTTAGGATTTCTTGGTGTTCGAATTTTGCATAGGTTGGTAGAGCCACCTGTACTGCCAGAAAATGCACACTAAACAAAAAAGCACAAAGTAGCTTAATCTGTTCGAGACACTATGTTTTTTGTGAAAATACGATTGGTCAGGAAGAAGTAGCATTTAAGAGTGAATAATTTGCCGCAGAAAACATGCAACCCTGCAAAATTTGGCACCAAAATCTCAGGTTATTGCCGAGTTGTTAAAAGGAAGATTAGTTTTCTGTGAAAACGCGGCAAACCAGCGAACACACCAAGTTTTTTGCTGCATCCAATTGCAACGGCTGATCAGATTTGAATTTGGTCAAAGCCAAACCCTTGCTTTGTGCAATTTTACCCACGCGATAATGATTTATGCAAAAAATAAGACCACGGTAAAGAAATAATTTCAGTTTGCTTGCATGATTTTGGCGCCAGTCAAAAATCAGATTTACTGAAAAACAGTTTTATGCCTTCTCGACGTTTCGATAGACTTTGTTTCTAAATTTTCATACCCCGCGCGTTAAAAATATTCTGTTTGTAAAGCTTTTAAGAGCAAAATCTGCAATTATTTTGCCTCGAAATAATTTTGAGTAGAAGTAGCAGCGTGACATTTCCGTTTATTTATCATAGTGATTCAATGCTTCAGTTACCGCTATTGCCGTATTCTAGCTCTCGACGTTTTCAACAAAGAGCAATAGAATGTCTCGGGCCGGATCTTTCCATGTGGAATTGCCCAAAGATGCTTTTACTTACCCAAACTCGTAATTTCCATTCATCTTCGACCGGCTGACATCTAGAAGGCGCACCTCATTGGTTATCGTTGCGACCTTCAGAATGCCGGCATTTTCAGCGAATAAGCAATGACAAAATGCGTTTTTAATCAGGGCACTGACAATTTTTTATTAATTAAACTGTTTACATGCACGGTATTAACTTTGCGTATTTATTTATATTCAGAAAAAGCAAACATTTTGCTTAATTTAGCGTTAATGGTCCAAAATTTTCCACAGCATCACGCAGCATCAAAATCTAGAGACAATTGTGTCTGAAACGTTCGGCTTTGACGACACACAGGAAGCCGAAGCGTCACGAACCAGACAATGCGTAAATCAGGCTTCAAACTGCATTCTCATCCGTATTTTCAGCTTGGCAAATATTTTAAATCTTTTTTACCAGAATTGATGATGATAATAATAATAATACAATAATGATGGTGATGATGATGGAGAAAATAACTGAATTGTCGTAGTATGAATTTTCAGCACTTATTCGTAGGAGGATAACTCCAGGAGTACTGCTCACAAGGAAACATTTTAGCCTCCCGAGACCTTAAAAGACTTCATTTGGCACGCAGGACAGATTTCTCTGAATATCTGGCTACTAGATTGCGTTCGGAAACAAAAATCTATGACTTAAGACACGCTTGACCTCGAACGTGACCTTGGACACAAATATGTGAAACAGACGGTGCTGGCCCTTCAAAAGTCCGCAATACTCTGCCCATGAGTTTCGACTCATGATCGAAAACTCAAACATTTCATGAAAACGCGCCTAGCTGATTGACTTCTGACGACATCAAATCATGAACAAAGTCGTAAAAGATTTGTTTTATATGCAACCTAATCACAGCCAATGAATGACGTTCTCAACACGTCTGAGTATTGATCATCAACACAGGCGAATTTTATTGGATGTTCAGCATTGCTATCGATTGTCAACTTGTGCATGAATTTGCCTGGATAAAAAGCTACAGATATGATTCACTCCACCTTCATTCTCGTGTCTAATGGATCACATTTCTGATACAACATTTCCTTCTTTGCACTCTGTTTTCACATAGAGTTTCCTCGACATTT